TATTCAGTAAAATTTTTCCTGGAACCTTCCTTCCTCTTTCCTGAAAGTCCCCATAGTAAAACAATTTGCCGTCAAATAGATTTGGACTCATGGGGACCCCTTGTGTACAAACAGCTTCCAATGGTGAATTTTTGGAAGGAGATTTCCAGGGCTTTACCCCCCTGAATGCTTTGGGTGGACTTGAACCTCTAATCTTTCAGTTAAAAGCTGAGATTGTTAACCCATTGTACCACCAAGAGATTCCAGAACTAGGAAGGTGATCCTTAGCAATGAGTCTGTGCTGCATGTTGTCCTTGTGTCTGGCCAGTAAGCACCTTGGCCTCTGAGCGCTTCATGGATATAGTGACTAAGGTGGTGGCTGTGGCCACTGTGGTTCATAAACTGAGGACAGGGCAGGGGTCACCTGTCAGCTGAGCAAGTGTATCTAGACAGCACTGGCTGGCCAGGCTATGCTCCCTCCAGCACTCTGGAGTCCAGGTGGAATGCCCTCTGCAGAGGCAGTGCCTGAAAGGCTTGAGGACACTTGATGATGCTCAGGTTGAGGGCAGGAGAGGTGGCTCAGGGAGGTTCTGATGGAACACCCTGCAGGAAACTGGTAAAGAACTGTGCCTTTACACACAAAAAAATAAAGTTTCCAAAGAATCCTTCTGGGGAGTTTGAATTTTATCTGGCACTTTCCTCCTATTCTGGCTGAGACTGTCTACTGACCATTCAGTTGCTGTTAGGTTTGTCAAGTACAACTGATAGCAAATCTATAAACAGTTGACCTGAACCCTGCCTTATTGTGTGCCATCCTCATGATCACACTAGATCCTCCTGACACACTAGAGCTCACTGCTGAAGTCAACATGTCAATCTGTTTTGTTGAGGGTCTTCCTGTCCTTCACTGACCCTTCATCTTTCCAAGCATGGTGTTCCTCTCCAAGAAATAGACTCACCTAGCTACATGTCCAAAATATGAAAGATGAAGGGTCACCATTTTTCTTGTAAGGAGCACTCTGCACATTTTCCAAGACATATATATTTGTTTGTTCTTTGGGGAGTCGATGAGATATTCAGTACTCTTCTCCAACAGCACAATTCAAAGGCATCAGTTCTTCTGTTATCCTTATATATGATTCAGCTCTCTGAAGCATAGCAGGTGACTGAGAAGACTATGGCTTGAATCAGGTACTCCTTGTTCTTTAGCATTTCAGATCATTTAGTAACTGGGAACTATTTAGCTCTTTTGGCTTTAGGGTAGTCGAAATTGTGCAGACTATTGGTCTTAAAGAAAGTTTCTTCTCTGAGATTTTGCATTTTCATTGTCCTGTCAAGAGTTGTACCTACATGTCCACTTGCAAGCTTTTAAGGTTCCAGACACAATGCAGGACATGAATGTTGTGATCTGTATTATACCAACTGACTGAACTGGTCCTACATTTTCAAACCTAGAAAAACAATCTCATAGAGTAGTTAACTTTATTAAGGTTTTCAGTGGCTGATCTCTGAGGTGCTTCTGGGTGAACCTGAATAGCCAATCTTTTCGTTAGTAGTCAACCTTGTTAACTGCTCTATTCAGGGACCCCCCCTTCCTAGTGTCACAGAACCTGTACTCCATGCTTAGTGTTGTCATTACAGGGACAATTTCCCAGGGCCACAATGCTGAGCAAGCAGTACTCAGGGGAGCATTTACTGGAGGTCAGGTGTAGACAAGTCCTGGCAGCTCAGCGCAAGGACATGATGACAGTGTGATACCATCATGGAACCGAGTAATAAAGACTGATGTAATGGTGAGGTGCTGCATATCTGACTGAAGGCTTATCAGACCCATTGTCATACAGTGCATCCCAGCTCACTAACTCTACATGGGTCTGTAAGGCTGTGACAGACAGAGACTGCCCATCTTTCTGAAGTGGACTGGCCAAGGGGTTTGAACTGTCAGTCTTTCGGTTTGCAGACCAGCACATAAGGGACACCAACACTATGGCTCCTTCATTAGACTAGAGAGGGTCACTGACAGACACCTAGTGTTGGTTGAGGCAGTCTGGGTGTGGGTCTGCACTGAGCAGCTGAGGTGGCCACACCACAGGGCTAGCTGGGGGCTGGGCCGGCCTGATTCAGCCTACCCCACAGCCCTAGCAAGTTCTCATGCTAGGCTCCCCATTCTAGTGGTCTCCCTCTCCTCACCCAGCCTCACCTTGTACACACAGGACCTTCCACTGCCTCTTAGCCATCTCTTAACCCTGCTGGTCACCACACTTCCATTTAACTTCACAAAGGCCACTTTTGCATGGTAATGGTGCTATGAGCCACTCATGCCTCACTCCTCTTCCCCTTCCATTCCCTACAACTGTCCAGACCTCAAATTCCACAGAAATGGAAACTCTTCTACCTGATGTCACTTAACCTAGTCAGTAATAAAACCAAGGATTTCGCAGATGTTTGCATTTTATGCCTTTGACCACATCCTCCCTGAACTACCTTCCTACCATTCTCTCCTGCTTTTTCTTCTCTGGCTGCCTTTTCAGTATACTCTACTTTGATCTGTCCCTTAAAATAGGGTAGTGTCCTTCCTGGGTCCCTCCCTGGCCCCATTTTGCTCCTCTCTGGGTTGATGCCATCCTCTCCTTCATGTCCACATCTCTGTGGACAGCCCACTGGACACATCAGGAGCCACCTCCCTATGGTACACCTCCACCTGGATATGCCCATGCTGCCCTGTGAAGGCCAGGTGTCCACACTACAGTCTCACTTGCCTCCTTAACCCCTCTTGGATTGATCTCTTTTACTAACTGTTCTCTGCCACTATAGGACCACCTGGATTTACTGCCCCTTGCCCTAGTATCTTATATCTAATCTCCACAAGATAGTTGGAGTGAAATTTCCAAGGTTCAAATGTCCACAATTCAAACCCCTTAACCAGTCCACTCCAGAAAGATGGGCAGTCTCTGCCTGTCAGCCTTAAAGACTCGTGTAGGGTCACTGTGAGCTGGGATGCACTTTTTCTTCTTCTCCCCATAAATAAAATCCAAGCTCCTCAGCACCTGTTCTCTGCTTGATTTATCACCTTCTTCTTACTCCATTATCTAGCCCTAACAATTTAGAATCCTTTGGCTTTTGTTTTTCAGGTGCATGCTTTGTGAGTGAAAGTTTACATAGCAAATTTATTTTCCACTCATATTTTGTCTTATGACATTAATTCAATCACTCATATACATTTTAGGACATTACTCACAATTCCCACAATGTAAGTACACTCTTTCCCCATCTACCAGGGAGTCCCATCTGCATGAGTCCTGCCATCTAATCCTTTCCAGCTGTACCTCTGGGCAGCTGGTGCCCTCTGGTTTTGTGACAGACTGTCCTAAGATGAGAGTGCCTGGTGTCACATTCACCTTAGGGTCTACAATTTGACTGAAAGTTGAGCCATAAATGTGAATTCTATTCCACGTTCAAAGCATTCTACCACCACTACCAGACAAATTTTATGTTTCTGAGTTTTGTTCCTCACTTTTTGCCCACTCCATCTGGGGCATTCTACTGTGACTCATTTAGGGTGGTCAGCAGCAGCAGCTGGGCACTATCTGCTTCTTATTTCAGAGGCCGAGGTTCAAATGATCCATTAGTTCTATTGATTGTCTCTGTACCTCTTTGCTTCCCTTCTCTCTCGGTTCCTGACAGGGAAAGAACAATATGTGTACCTTAGATAGTTGCTTGCAATCTCACCAAGTAAGATGAAGAACTTTGTCTCTGTAGACTGTCATGCCATGTGACCCTGTTGCTCCTCATCAATGGCCCTGAGGTCCTAGGACTTAACCTTGCTGATTTGTCCTCAGCCTGGAATCTACTTTGTTAAACTGCTCATTCCACCTTTTGGTCTGGCTCACAGGTCAATTTCCCTGGAAAACATCAGGGTAATGCCTGTCCCTCTTCCTGTCTCCATGCCAGTCTGGACAGCATGCCCAAGTGGTACTGATCCTCAGCACTTGGCTAAGCACACTGGATATGATAGGGCCCAGAGGGTAGGATGAAGATGAGAAGGCTCTAGTGAGAAACAGACCTGCTTGCACATATCTAGTATCTAGGCCTGGGCTTTGCTAAGAGTTGTTTGTTGTTTAATGCCGTTGAGTCGTAGACAACTCATAGTGACCCTAAGAGTAGGGGCTGAAAAATTGTTTGACTGGATGAACGAATTCTTCCCTTTTCTCTATAACCTCAACTCTTCAGGAGCTAGGGAAAATGAGGCACTAACGCACCAACAACATACCTAAGGGGGCTTTAGGGGTGTAGATGCTAACCCAAAGATGGCACCTCTTTAGTGGTTCAAATCCACCAATGGTTCCACAGGAGAAAGATGGGCAGTCTTCTCCACTGTGATTTACAGTCTCTGAAACCCACTGGAGGGTCAGTGATGAGTGAATTCTGACTTCTCAGCAATGAGGATAAAGTTCCTGGGAGGAAGGCTAACAGAGGGTCTCAGGCAACTTCCATGAGGTGAAAATAGGAAAGGCAAAGATGAAAAGGAAGTAACCAAATTACTGACTGGTGAACCAAGTTAACAGACAAGCTAGTAATAGGGCTTGCCACTTATCACCTGGGCCTGCTGGGAGAGTGAAGAGCAGTGTTTCAGAACAGCACCCAAAAGACCTGGGCATGGTCCTCTGGAACAACTGCTCTCTGTCCTCAGCAGAGGCAATTCAAGGCAGTGGACTGCCTTGTAGGCAGCACGAGCTTAGGCAACAAGTCTGTCCTAGACTGTTATCACTGTCTATCACTTTGAACCTCAACAGCAAAACTTCAGAGCCTGTGGTTGGCTTGCCTGCTCAGCCACACGGGTGAGACCTGCATGAGAGGAAAGAAAGGTGGGAAAGTGGACCAGGTGTCCTATCCACCTGGGGAGAGCTGAGATCCTGTTGGGTTGGTGCTGAGGATCTGGGCAGTGAAAGGGATAGACAAGAGAACAGACCTAGAACCCAGGGTGATGAATGGGGATGGGGCCCAGGCCAAAGCTTACCAGCTCAGATGATGTTAGCCTCTGGGACCTTCTCTCCCAAGTAAAATCGACTGAAGAGGAAGGCGCTCAGGTTGATGGTCTGGAAGCTGCCTTCCAGCACCATTTCTGCCACAGCTCTCCCCACAGCAGGAGCCTGCTGCAGCCCATGACCACTAAAGCCCGTAGCAAAGTACATGTTGACGACTAGTGGGTGGGGCCCCACTACACCATTCTGGTCAAAGGTGTTGTAGTCGTAATAGCCAGCCCAAGAGCTCCGAACCTGTGGGTATAAAAGCTTGGCCCTTAGGAAGCTGCAGACATGCTCAGCTCTTACACTTGGCTGGGATGAGCATATCATACCCCTACCCCTACTGAGGGCACCCTGTGGGATAGACTAATAGACATGAGGCTAACAGTTGTGAGGTGGCAAGAAGCCCAAGGGATTCAGCACCATCTGTCCCATCCAAAGTTACCTTAAGAGTCCCAAAAGCTGGTATCCTTTGGGTCAAATGGGGCCACACCTTTTCCTGGAAGAAAGCATGGTCCACTTTCAGGTTCTCAGGATCTGGTTCTTCCTCCTGGGGTGACAGGTAGTGACAGGATTATTTTGCTGGGACTCCAGGGCAGGCCCAAATCTCACAGAGTCACTTATCAATCCCTTAGTAAGAGGAGGATGGGCGAATACAGCATGAGGCTATTAAAAAAAAATTAATTAAAATTTATTCATTATTGCACATTTTCTCCCCCATTCCCTTACCCTACCTTGATGCCCCTCTTGTTCCAAACTGTTCTTATATAATGTAATCACATATTCCTTTCAAACAGTTCTTCCCCTTATCTGTTCCAATGTACTGTTCATTATCTATCCACCCCTTCCCCATTCCTCTCCACTCATGTCTGCCCTATTTTAGAACAATGGTGTTATGCAGTATTTATTCTTTTGTGACTGAGATATTTCACTTAGCATAATGTCCTTAAGGCTCCCCCATGTTGTGTTATATTTTACTATTTCATTGTTTTTCAATGCTACATAATATTCCACTGTGTGGATGTAATATAGTTTTTCTATCCATTCATTTATTGATGGGCACTTGCATTGCTTTCAACTTTGCTACTGTGAATAATGCAGCAATAAACATGGGTGTGCACACATCTGTTTGAGTTGTGGCTCTGGTTTCTTTAAGGTATATTCCCAGAAGTGGAATTATTGGGTCAAATGGTATTTCTATTTCCAACTTTTTGAGAAAGTGCCAGATGACCTTCCATAGTGGTTGTACCAATTTACTCCCACCAGCAGTGAATAAGAATTCCAGTCACTCCACAACCTCACCAGCATTTGTTGTTCGCTGCCCTGTTGAACTTTGCTATTGTTGCTGGGGCGAGATAGTATCTCATAGTTATTTTGATTTGCATCTTGCTAATAGCTAGGGATTCCGAATATTTCTTCATTTGTTTGTTTGCCGCATGAATATCCTCTTCGGGGAAATGTCTATTCATATCCTGTGCCCATTTTGTGACTGGACTATTTACATTTTTCTTGTCGAAGTTCTCGAGTATTCTCTTAATTTTAAATATAAGTCCCTTATCAGATATGTCATTGCCAAATATTCTTTCCCAGTCTGTGGGTTTCTTTCTACCCTGTTGAAGAAGTTTTTTATGTGCATAGGGATTTGATTCTTAGAAGGTCCCATTCATCTATTTTATCCTTTCCTGGTTGTAGGTTTTACATTATGCTTAAAATACAAACAGTCTGACTTTTTGATGAGAAAAGGCCCATGTCTTTCCCAGCACCTCCCCATCCACTAAGGTTACCTCAGATGGGCTACAGCCACCAATGTAGTTGTTTCCCAGTCCTTCCCTGCGGAAATAGGCTCCACTGGTGTCTGCAATGAGTGGAGTCTCCAGGCCAGGTCCCTGGGGGCAGTGCCATTGGTACACATACCTGCCATAACCCAGGGGGCAGGGAATCATGGGGACATCAGAGCTAGTAGGCCTCAGGGGGTTGCATTTGTGCATATGCACGCATGTGTGCACACACAGAGTCCTCTCACCAGACACACATACAACGCATGCACATACACACGGTCCTTCTCTCACTAGATAAACACACACACACTCTCCCTCTCACCTTCCCACAACACACACTCTCCTCATCAGACACACATGAACGTGCATATGCACAGTCCTTCTCTCACACCCCCCCCATACACACACGTGCATGTACACAATCCTTCTCTAACCTGACACACACACCTACAGAGTCCTCTTCTCACCAGACAGAAACACACACACCTTTCTTTCACAGTCATACACACATACGCATGCACAGTCCTTTGCTCATTAGACACACACACACACTCCTCTTCTCTCACCAGCCTTTCCAATCACCCTGAGTGAGGTCACCTCTTTCTTGGTTCCACAGGGAGCTTGGTGCCCTGCAGGGTGCCAGGGGCTCCGTCCCCAATGCCAGCTAGCTCTGCAATCTGTCCAGACCAGGCTCCAGCTGCATTTATGACAATGGCACACTCCACAGGCTGGTACTCCAGGCTGTGGTCCATCTTTACCTGCAGGCCAGAGAGTTAGGGGGGCCTTGGTCAGGCACTGGACACAATGAAAGGTCTATTTCTTCCTGAACCCAAGTTTACCCATATTAGAAAGAAAAAAACAAGGACAGTCATTATCTTCTGCCCCTCTACTTCGGTAAGGAAGGTATTCAGGTAAGGAACTTACATGGACTTCATGAATTCTTTTCAAAATTACTTCTTCCCCACCTATGTTCTCCATGCAGTTGGCCGAGTAGATGACACCTGTGACAAAGAGAAAATAAGTAAGGTCTTGAAGGGGGAAGAGGAAAGTTTCACTGGTTCTACAAGGGAGCAAGCAGAGATCAGGGGTTGGATGAACTTGGGCACCCCACAATGGGGTGCTGAAATTTCATGTTAAGGAAGAAGTTCAAGACAGGATGTCCAGAATGACCTTTCAGAAAAATCTCAGCCCCCACAGCCCTGCCCAGGCCATCAGTGGGAAACCAGACCCAATCAAGGTGTTGCCTTGGTTGGGACAGTAAACAGCAGTGGGCACAGGCCTTCAGACTCACGTGTGACCTCTCCCTGGCAGAAGAGGACTCCCATGGACTGGACTTTTCGCCTAAGTCCAAGTAGCAAACACCAGGGGTCAAACCAGCCTTCACCCTCCAACCCTGTGTTGAGAAAAAGAGGCCTCATGAAGGAAGATTAGGACCCTTCTTCGCTAATTCCTGCCTCCTGTTCCCAACACCAACTCCCCTTTAGGGCTTGAGAACTGAAGATGGACACCCTGTAGCAGAGGCCAATCTGCTGCTGGACACAGGGCTTCATGGCTCAGGGAGGGTCCTGCTGGAGAGGTGGAAGTGTCCCTCTTAAAGGTTAGTTATGGGGCTCTGAGACTTCAATTTGCGGTCCCCTGTCCAAGTAAGCCTCACCGTAAGATGCCAATGCCACTCCCTCTGTGTTTATCCAGGGAAACTTGTTCCGAAGCTGCTCAGGAGACATCAGACAGACCTTAGCTCCCTCCTGCCTGAGAGAAAGGTGTGGTCTATGCATGAATGTTAGAGAGGGTGGGTGTGCAAGGGGACACCAGGGCCCATCTTGGTGTCGTGATTCCAGCTCCCTAAAAGTTTCCCTTACTGTGGGATGGGGAAAAGTAAAATTCCCTTCTTCATGTTCATCACATGTGACCTCTCATACACAAATCCTCCACAAACCATCTACAAACTCACTGTGCCTCAGTTTTACCTTATGTAAAGTGGGGATATTCTAGTGATTAAATGAGTGGACATGTATAAAGCATTTAGGACCCTGACTGTGCTGACCCTATGTGCTGTGTGTGCTTCCTAAAGGTTTTCTTGGCCATAAACATTATGAAAGTGGACTGCTAGGCTTTTCCTCCACAGAGCATCTGGGTAAGTCCACACTGCTTTGTAGTCTAGAGCAGACCATCTGTGCTTCTTGATGTCATTTGTTGTTGTTATGTGCTATTGAGTTGCCTGTGACTCACAGCGACCCTATGCATGGTAGCTCTGAACGCTGCCATATCCTGAGCCAGTCTCACTATCCTTAACCCCACTATCCAAGTCAATGAGTCAATCCAAGTCATCTGGGATCTTCCTCTCCTGTGCTGTTCTTCCACCCTTCCAAGCATGTCCAAAGTATGTGAGATGGAGCTTCAAAATCCTTACCTCCTGATTGTTCTGGTATTATTAAAACATATTAATATTTTCTATTAAACATAAAAACAATTAAAGCCTCAGGTCATCATAATGCATCACTAAGATACCTATTCTTGGATGATCAAAAAAATGGAACAGAACAGGGCTTAGCAAACTACTCCCAATAAGCCAAATGCAGAGACCACCTATTTTTATAAAGTTTTATTAGAACATGCTTTTGTGTGACAACAAGAGAGCAGAATGGTTGTGACTGGGGCTGGGTGACCTACAAAATCTAAAATATTCACTTTATAGAAAAAGTATGATCTTTGACTTAAGCTTCTTGTTAAGAAAAACCAAAACATCACATACTTTGCCTCCCTAGAAATCGCTTGCTGAAAGTGGAGCTGTAGCACTTACAGATGAAGATCAAAGACTTCGGTATAAATTACATTTCAACATAAGGGAAACAAAATCTTTACCACTAGAACAGTAAGCAATACCATGACAAATAAAGAGTGATGCTGGAGAGAATTTCTTTTTATTTGGGTCCACAATCCATAAGGAAAGTCTGCTGCAGAAGACCTCTTTAAAGAGCAAAGGTGTTGCTCTGATAACTGACGTGCATCTACCTAAGTCATGATATTTGCCTGATGTGCATGCAAAAGCTAGACAATAAATAAGGAAGACCAAAGAATTGACGCTTTTGAATTATGGTGTTGGTATAGACTACTGACTATATTCTGCATGAACTGCAGGAAGAACGAACTGTTCTATCTTGGAAGAAGGATAGTAACAATCATCCTTAGAAGCAAAGATCCTCACACACACTTTGGATATGTTATCAGGAAGGGTTAGTCCCTTGGAGAAGGACAGTGAAAAACAGGATCAGTGAGAAAGAAGATGACCATCAATGAGAAGGACTGACAGAGCTACTGCACTAACAGTAAGCAATATCTTGAGGCTGCCACAGGATCTGTGCTTCTTCCACTGCCTACGGGATGCCAACGCCAACAATGACAACAACAGGAATTCTCATTTCCTCTGTCTAGGACATGCCACAGGCAATTCTGACCTGCAGTAGTGTGCTTTCTGCTGCTCCACAGCATGACCCCAGGGCATCAGAGGTTTGAATACAACACTCCCCTCTGCACCCTGACCCCACTCTCCATCTGTCCACTGCTCCACAGCATGAACCCCAGGCTATCAGAGGTTTGAAGCCGACACTCACCTCTGTACTTTGACACCACTCTCCATGATGGCAGCATCTGCTTCTGAAGCCAGGAAAAGGTACCCTGAGGGGTTGAACTGCAGATTCAAGGGAGGACCATCGACTACGGCCAGGTACTCCTATGTGTGGAGAAAAGTCATCAAAGAAGTTTAAGAATGTTCCTGGCTTCCAACAGCTTCCTAAACCCCAAGACATAAGTTTTCCTCTAGAAAGAAGGCATTATTTCTAGGAAGAAAAACCAGGGGCCCAATTCCTAGTTGCCTGGACACCCCAGCTTCTACTATCCCCCAGCCAGCTGGACTGTTCTTCTTGGTTAGAGGAGGGGTCACTGCGCCAAACTAAATATTGCTTCACATACATTGATGTTCCGTAGAAAGTTGACGGAGAAGAGGGAGAGCTGGATGTTCTCTGGCAACGAGAACTGTTGACGAATTCCTCCGACAGAAAGCGTGGTCGAAGCCTGTGAATACTGTAAAAAAAGGAGAATAAACAAGTTAGACCAGTACACTGTTACATGTGCCCAGAACAGATGAGAATTGTATATGACTTAAATGAAAGAAAGATCCTATTGGTAATGAGTTTGTTTCTAAAAGGTGACATGAATTAACCTATTTGCAAGTCAACCAGCTATTCCCAACGGGAACGTATTTTCAAAACCTTACTAACTGTCATGACAGAGAGGGTTTTGAAAAGGGTTAGGCATGGTGGTGGAAATGGCAATAGCCCAGAAGTTTAAGGACAGGAGTTTAACATTTGCAAATCTACAGAATGGTAATGACCAAAGTACAAAACTCATGGCTAAGTGGTAGTAGCAAATGAGAACAACCAAAGTGTAAAAACCTCAAAACTAAAAGGACTTTTAGAAACAGGTTAGCTGCTTGCATTAATGATTATAGCTTAAACACAAGCTTTGGTGGCCAGGTCTGCGAGATCTTAGAGGGTCCAAAATGATAAAATTTGCTTTTACAAAATACAAGTTAATTGCCTAGGCTCTTGGGCTGGGGCAGGAACAATCTAGGATTATTTCTCAATAAGGCCCAATGGATAGTTCCTGCCCTTTGGATCTCTCAAGATCTTTCCTCTCCTACTACCCCTAGAGTCATTACTAAAACAAGGTATCTTTCTTGCCCTACTCATGTGTCTGCACTACCCCAGAACTCACCGTGCAGTCACGCTCCACCACCAGCACCCGAATGGCACCACGCTGCTTCTCCAACTTCTTCAGCCAATAAGCCACTGACAAGCCAAGCACCCCACCTCCCACAATCACCACATCTGTGTGCTCAGGGGGAAGGTGGCTGGTGTCATACAGTGGATCCCAGGCCCTTCCAGGCAGGGCTGACTGAATCTTCTTCTTGATCTCAGACACTTTTCCATTCCAATCTGTGGGAGGAACTTTGGTCAGAGAGGGAACTCTTGTCCTCTTCCTGTGACAGGGAGCGGAAGGAGGGGGGAAACAGGTGCAGGGAAGTTAGGCTGGGGACTGAGCTGGCAGTGTCCCTTCCTACACAGCTGTGCTGGATCACCTATGCCCTCAGTTTCTTCCTTTTCATGCAGCCTGCACAGCACTGCAAGACCCACCTTCTGCAAACTCATACTCTAGCTGGATAGAGAATGCACACACTCATCTCCTGCAAAGCCTTCTCTCAGGTGAGCTCCAGAAGCACGTACTCAACTACGTGTCTTTCCCAGCTTTGTGAACCAGGCCTCTGAACCAAGCCCTCACATGCTGCAGCATACTCTGAAGCATGGCCCTTCTGAGCACAGCTCCTTACCCACCACCCACATTTCTGCGTTCATGTTCTGTCTGTGCAAATTTTGAATGATTCTGCATCCTGTGATCTACTGTATGCCCCTTTCTTCATCTCTGCTTTCACTATTCTAGACCAAATCACCCTAATCTACTTCACTTCACATGAAAAAGTATCTAAGTAATTCCAAAGAACTCCTGCTCCGGACCACTCTCCGCACTTCAAAAGTAAAATGCGTTTTTTCTGTGCACAGATTTGATCAAACATCACCTTGTTAAAACCCCCAATGGCTTTCTATTATTTGAAGGAACAAAACATTTTACCAGAAAGCGATTAAGAAAGGTAGAGTCAGTGAAAGGAGAGGAAGGTCCACAATAAGATGGATGAACAGTGACTGCAGCAACAGGCGCAAAGGTATCAGAGATGATGAGGATGTTACAGGATAGGGCAGGCCTCAGAACTGTTGTTCACAGGGTCGCTACGAGTCACAATCAACTCAACAGTACCTGACAACTACATATACTGGCTTCACGGTCTGATAGTACAGAGAATTCCAGAATCGAGTTCTAACTAATCTTGAACTGGTCTACTGTTCTTTCCTGAAGTCCTTCCTCACCAGTTACGTTCCAAGGGGCTCAGGGAAACATGTTAAGTCTGGTCATCCCTCCTCCATTGCTACAGCACTAAGCACAACATTCTGCATGCAAACTGGAACTGATGGCTATCTCACAACCAATTAGGCTGTAGTATGGAATGATCTGGGATTTACCCCTTGACAAGGGACGCATTAAAAGCTATACATGTAGGGAGCTCTGGTGGCCTAGTGGCAAGAAGCTGTACTACAATCCCTGAGGTGCATGGTTCGAATCCACCAGATGCTCTGCTGCAGACGGAGGAACAATCTCCTCCTCTACCTGTCAGATCCGATTTGACGGTACACACACCAAAAATTAATAAAAGTTAAAAATTTAAAAAAACAAAACAAAACAAAACAAAAAAACACCTATACATGTGCCCAGGCTCTACACTGTCTGGCAGTCTTTCACTGTCTCCCCCCAGCCAACCCTATCTTCCCATCGTGGCCTGGGGCTTGAATGGCAGCTGGAGCTGCCATCTGTTGCAGCTCTCAACTTTACCCAGAGTGGAGCCGCCTCTGCGACTACTGAGGCCCTGATGTGAGAGAGTCTGGCAGAGGCCGCGACACAACACCTGACGAAGCATGACTTCAAACGCGTCACTAAGCTGCTGCTCCCGCTCCGCTCAGGACGGCCCAGGCGAGCGCGTTCATTGGCCATCTGTGTCCCTGTTCCCGCCCCTCCAGGCTATAGGCCGCCGAACACTCGTGACCTTCCCCGGAACCGCTGCTCACACTCTGTCTACACCTGCCATTGGCTGGCCTTAGTATATGTCAGCTGTGCGCGACCTCAGGAGGCTGGGAGAAGAAAGGGGTAAGGGGAGGGGCCCGGCGGCTCGAAGCGGAAGTGCGAAGGCGCTTGTTTCCGGGACGGTGGAGTGACGTGTCCTGCGCTTGGCGCAGCAGGAAGTGCCGGCATTTGTGGCTTGAGTCCTGGGCCGGCTTTAACCTCCACTGCTGTTGTCACCATGCTGGACTTCTTCACCATTTTCTCCAAGGGGGGACTTGTGCTCTGGTGCTTTCAGGGCGTGAGCGACTCATGCACTGGGCCTGTTAAC